TATATATATATATATATATATATATATATATATATATATATATATATATATATATATCATGTCAATAGTCATATTATAAATATATCGTTATATAAATTTAATCACCATTATAATTTTAATCACCATACCTGTGCTTCATCATTGAAATTCAAACTTTTGCAATTTTCACGAGCTGTACTCAGCAAGGTACACGATAACCTAAATATTTCAAACAGTTGCGTGTCTCTAAAACTACTTGCTATTTTCCTATGTTTTGTCAGAGATCTGTTTGCATCTGCTTCTGATATTTGATTCATCTCGCATGTCAATTGGGAAAGCAACTGCACTCCTATCATACAATGCTCCACTGATCCCTGCTTATTACAACAAAGTGTTATTTTTGAGAGAGAGTCCATGTGTGAACTCGCAGCACATATACAGACATAAACATTGATAAGAGGTATATGCAATAATAAAGAATATCAAGTATGTGCATGTGTGTCGAACCTGAAGGAATTTGGCTACATCAGTGACTACATTTCTGAAGACAAACTCATCTTTATCGGAATCGAACCATCCAAGCTTTGATATCCTAGCAAAAAGTGTAACCAAAGCCTGTATCACAAAATTCGGTAACTTTGGTTGTGTTGCTAAGTAGTTGAGTACGTAATTTCCTGCAAGTACACATATATTTAATCGATCATGATATACAGAACGTCATGCAATAAATGTAATCAAGTAAAGTGAAACTCTCAACTATATATCTATATCATAATAATTATCTTCATTATAATCAATAAAGATAACAAATAATTATTACTTTCATTATAATTATTTTATCATAATATATATCTTGCTGTATTTTGATACATATATATATTATATATGTACATATATATATATATATATATGTATATATATATTGTATATATATGTACATGTATAAAATGAAAGTTTGCTTACGTATATCCAGCCTCTGTTGCATGCTGAGTCCCTGTGCCGAACGTGATATCAGTTTTGTCAGAGTCGTGGCAGCTAGTAATTGAGCATAAGCCGAGTCCCCACGGTCCAAGAGCAGCTGGCACTTTGTAAGCGTATCCGGTGCATTTTGAAATGCGACAAGGGCCTTCTCCGCCTCGGCACGATGCGCGGAATCTTGCGACTCGTACAACTGTTTGCATAGCAACTCCAGCTGCCGCACTTCCTGTATGTGATCCATTCTTAATGGCACTGTTTAAAGTTGTTTTTTAATACTTCCATTTAGGTGCGAGACAAGTCTAAAAGTTTCATCGTTATATTCTCTTTTTTTCACTTCTTCAGGAATCTTTATTCAATGACTTGCTATGTTAGTGTCCAACAGGTTTACAATCTTACAATCTTACAGTAACATTACGCCTCTTATGCGCGACGCACGATCCAAATTTATGGGCGCATTTAGACGGTGTTATGGGAGAAAAACCTGAAGGGACAGCACATTCATACATACATACACACGCACACATGCACAGCTCTCACTTTGTGTGTCTTATTACGATAAGTAACAATTTCTGTTCAATTTGCGTTCACACAAGTAATGATATCTCACATTAACAAACAATTTACAAACATTGCTTGAATTGTACGAGATGAACGAGGAGATCGTGTGCTACGTGTGACGTCAAAAAGAAAAGAAAAAAACACAATAAGTGTCGCTCGCGAGTAGTTGCGGGGTACGCAATGAAAATCAGAAGATACGAGTATGTGCGATGAATGAGACTACGATAACATCGGCGGCTCTCTTTGCATATATGTATGTATCGTGAGCGGCTGTGTTTTCCTTCTTCCCGTCTGAGCAATAATTCTCACAGCATCCGTACACTCGATAAAACGCATCACACACAGCCGCAACACGGGCGAAGTCGCGACGTCTCACACGGCGGACGGATGCTCGTGCATCCGCGCGACACGTGCGCGTCGTACCTAAGAAAAAAGAAAAAGAAGAAAAAGCCCAGAGAGTACACACGCTGACACAATTCACTGGCGGGCCACCGTCGTCGGGCGAGGAGTCTGGCACACCTGCCACTTGACACGTAGGAATTTTACGCGTAGCGCGTCCGCGAGAGTTTAGGTTATGCGACCGACAGTTTGTAAATAACGGTGCGTAGTCGCATGAATGGCGATCCCGTCGCAAACAATGAGGATTGCGCGCGACGGACGATGGGGGGCTCTTCTCGGCCGAGCGAACGCGCTCCGCCGCGCGTTTCGTCTCTTCAAGACGACGACGAGAACAACGGCGACGACGAGTGCGGTAAATCGAGCCCGGGTAAAGCTGCGAGACGCGGCGCGAAATTCGTCAAGATAAACAACGACGTGAGGCGACGCGCTCTCTCACTCTCGGCGACTAAGAGAAAGAGGGACAAAGGGAGGCGGAGATAGAGAGGGGAGGAAGAGGGAAGAAAGAGAGAGAAAGAGGGGGAGAGAGAGAGAGAGGATGAGTGGAGTCACGATGCAATCGTGCTCTGCGGAGTCGTACTTAAGAGTTCTCACGGCGTAGTTATCGCGTGCCGGGCTGATTGAACACGCGGCGCTTATCACATAAAAATCGTCCAAAACGCGCTATCTCGGCACGTCGTGGCCACGAGCAGGAGCCGCGTCTGTGCGCGCACGGCCGCCACGCGGATCAGGTGATCCCCGGCGCCACGAATGGTCCCGGGAAATCCAGCGCCAGTGTCCGCACCGCACGCCGAAATCGTTTTTCGAGATCACGGGCACACGCGGGAACGAGCGCGGGACGCGGCGTCCGCGAATTTCACAGCTCGACCGACGCTGCGGCAGGACCGACTCGGCGGATGTCGCGGGATGCGAACTCGCGGCAGAAAGAAAGAGAGGGAGAGAGAGAGGCAGGATAGCTTCGCCCTTGCGGCCGCGCGACACGTTTCTCCCTGCGCGAACACTACGGCCGACTACACGAATACGCACTGACTGAATGAACGAATAGCCGACTGACTGACCGACCGACTAACTGATCGACTGACTGTCTGTCCGTCGCAGACCCGGCGCGGCAAAAATCCCAAGTCGCGTTAATTCGCCCTAAGTGTCACACGGTGCAACACCACCAACCATTATCACCACCACCAGGCGACACGCACGCACGCACGCACACACACGTGGCACGGCTCACACGCGCGATTCCGGCGCGTATTTCGCCGGCGATTAACCCGTAGCGTCGCGCCAGTGACAGGCGCGGCGCCGTTTCGCAAGGTACGCGCGTTATTTTGGTCGGCGACTCACCTGCTCCTCCGCCATTTTCACAAGTTCGTATTATCTACAATGAAGCCAAGATCACATGCCAACCTCGTCTGCCGCCGGCGCATGTTTGCCCCGGCGGTCCGCGGGCCCCCCTCGGCTGGCTCCGCCGCCGCGCTCAGCGCTATCTTCCGCCCGCCGGACAAAGCACTCGCATGGAAACGCACCCTGCAAACGACGAGACGATCTGTCGTTTTCCTTCCTTATTTACACTGTTCTGCGCATACAGGGTGTCTGACGATAACGTATATGTATGAAACTCCATAATGTACACTCAGGATCGATTGTTCTCGGTTAACTGATAGTTAAATCATATGTCTGTCTTTCTCTAAATTGAAAAAGAAACAAAGACAGACATATGATTTAACCATCAGTTAACTTACCAAAAAGTTGGAACATCGGCCCTGAGTAACAAAACGGTTTGAACGCATTTCGAGCGATTCAAATTGCAGCGTTTCAAGATGTCTCAAAATTGAGAGGCACTGCTGACACATTTGCGTACAAATCGATTGTGACAGTAGTCGAGATGACAATACAGGGCATATTAACGCATATTAATTATGTCATTACGTTACCTTACATTTATTTTTACACCCTGTACTGTCACTTCGGCTCCTGTCATAATCGATTCATACGCAAATGTATCAGCAGTGTCTCTCAATTTCGACATCTTGAAGCGCTGCAACTTCAGTATTCGAAATGCGTTCACAGCGTTTTGCAACTCAGTGTGCGTGTGAATTAGCACAGAGTTGTGCCGCAAAATTCAAAATTATATCTACGCGTATTGCGTCCGTATTTTCTACATAAAGTACACACGTTGTCGTTTTTCATGTGGACAATATAAATATTATATGGAATATTGTAAATTATATTAAAATATACAAAAGAAAAAAAAGAATAATTGAATTATGAGACAGTTGCTGTATCTATTTTAGATGTCAATTATAAATGTAATGTTCAACAGCCCATATAGCAGAAATTTTGAAAATACATCATGTGGATATTTTAAAGATGTTGTGATATCTTTAGGATATCCCCCTTTAGAATGATATATTTAGAATATTTTTGCTATGTGACCCTTATAGAAATATCATCTAAGAATTATTGATAATTACTTATTTTCAGTATTAAAAATACTGGATAATAAGTAATTATCAATGATTCTTAGTATGATATTTCTATAAGGGAAGAGATCGAACAAATTACGTTTAATTTTTATTTTATTACAGTAACAGAGATAGAGATTGCTAAATTTAACTTTTGTGCAAAGGTAAGACTAAACCGAAGAATTTTCTGGGCTCTAAGTTGTTTAGAAAACAACTTTCGTAAAGTTACATCAAGATTTTAAAGGTTAAATATAAAAATCAGAGTTTTTCTTAGTTAATTTCTGAGCAAAAAATATATGTTCTTCAAACCCATATAGCACAAATCTCTAAAAGACTTCTTAAAGAATTCTAAAAGTGTTCTTGAGGACTTGGGAACTCTTTTGGAACTTTTTAAGAAGTCTTTTAGAGATTTGTGCTATATGGAAACGACATCCATAAATCACTTGTTGCCTACATAAATGACATCTCATACATAATTTATATACTCTACATGTAAAATATCATGATTTACGCGTGAATGTTTAATCCTAGATTAAATCAAACTGAACAAAAAATTCCTCTACTATTTTGCAAATAGTAATGCCACGCAAAATCTTGAATTACTAATTAAAGGAGATTGGCGAGTGATCGTGCAGCATACGGTGCAGAATATGACGAGGTCTGTTCTTTTTAGCTAAACTGCTGGAGTTAGAATGAGACAAATATATTTTATCTCACTTCAACTTATTGCACCACTGTTGCAGTGTAGCTGAAAAGAACAGACCAACGGTAAGTACGATTTGTGTGCCAAACTGAACAAAAAAACCCTCTATCACTTTGCAAATAACTACGTAGATTTTTTAGTTATTAATTAAAGGAAAATTAGCGAATAATCACGATCGATCATTCGCCAATTCTCTTTAATTATTAACGTAAAAATTTATTTTGGTGGTTATTTGCAGAATAGTAGAGGATTTTTTTGTTTAGTGGCCTAATTTACAGTCGCGAACAAGTAAATTGTTCGCCTTTTTTATGAGTTTAGAAACGTATCCGTTCCGTTCAATGAAAATATTCTCCCAATGGAAAATAAATTCTCTCGTTAGATAAAGCAGGTGTATATTCCTAAATTTATATTTTACAATATTATATTGTACTTACCCGTGCACTGTCATTCGCTAATCTACTTTAATTAATAATTCAAAAATCTACGTGGTTGTAAAATAGTAAAAGATTTTTGTGTTCTATCTAACATACACTAAAATTTTATTAGACATTTTATCAGTATATTATCAGACACTCTGTATATATACAAGATGATTTTATTTAAAAAAAAAATGCACAATATCTTATCAATTTACATGCCATACAAAGATCAATATAGACAAACTTCTCTCTGATAAATCCTCATAAAAATATTTTCCAGTATTTGTTGTATTTAATCTGATCGTAAAATTTGATCGCATAAGGAAGAAAATTAATGAAGGAAATTATTTTCCAATCCTTTGTTTCCTTTAGTTAAATTCTATGCTAATAAACCATGTAGAATTTCACCTATTAAACATTCAACCATAAAGCTTATTTAATTTATTAAATATTTTTATATATTAATCCCAGACAGCACAATGCCCAAATTAGGACATGACATCTTTAAAATATCTTTAAAACGTCAAAAAATAAGATGTCTTGGCAAAGCTTGTAAAAACTTATTTAATTTGCCAGAGCATCGTGATACTAAAACTAGAGGAATGCATTTTCGAAACTGATCAATTCGAGAAATCAACTTTTATTGCATGTGATGAGGACAAAACAATATCAGCTGATCGTTCAAAAGAATTGGGCGATTTTAATTCTTGGTTCAGTGTATTCCCATGTACTTCTCTCTGATTAAATTGGAGTACTACCTTGACTTTATGACATGATTAAAATGCACTCGCGTTTGTGTGTGCGCACATTGTATACAGAAGGATAATAACAGCGGACGTTTATCTATAAAACATACCTTGTGTTCTTGTGTAGGTATTATATTTCGAATATAGCTTTTGCACAGCCTTTGTATCCTCTCTACTCAGTTACTCCCATACACGAAGATTCATGCCGGTATTAACAATAAAGCATCACATATTCTCTTACAAATATTTCAGCGATACTCTCGACAATTGCAATTATCCACGTCGCAATCAAGTCGCACATCTTGTGATACGAAGACTCCTTAAAGGTACGAATTCCCACATACTCCCCTTACTATCATTTTACATCTCTTCCCACCACATATATACATATATATATATATATATATATATATATATATATATGTATATATGTGTATATATATATATATATATACATATACACAGTACCAGTACAGTATATATACTCTTACCACGTATATACACATATATATATATATATAGTGGTTTCGCGTTTTATATTATTCATGATTTCTGTATATGCGTGTCCGATCTCTCTCGTTCACGAATAAATAGTTTTTGCGTGAATCCTTTCACAACATCCGAGATTTCAAACGAAATCCTTCGGTTTAACGGTGGTATTCGAACGAAAAAGATCTTTCCATATTCCGAGGAGGAATATAGGAAGACGCAATGTGAACGATCTCGTATTTTATATATATATATATATATATCTATCTCTCGATAATACCTACATACGCGTATTCATAGATAGTGGAAGGACGATGGAGAATATTAATGTTCGTAAAGAGTATGTTAATGCTTGGCTACGCTCACTGTTATGCGCTATTATTTCTCACCTATTCATTTTGAAATAAGTCACAAACTCAAGAACTACGTATGCCATATTCTACAAAAGTATGCCTCGCACACTCTTTGTGTGTGTACCCCGATGTGTGTTGTGTGTATATATGTACATATACATACCTTAAAATTATACAAAATTCCCATTCGATCGTACTAATTTCTCGAAATCACAATGTTTGTACCCGGTTTGCGTGCAACTCGTAATTCCAAACCCTCTTAACCCTCCTACTTTCCGTCTCGTTCAACGTCAGAATGCGCGCGTATGCACCACGCGAACAAATTGCGTACAAATATCCGCCGTAATTATTATTATCTCTTTTTTTTCCTTTTGTGCATTATACAAGAGAGTAAACAAATTTTGCGTATTCTAAACATTAGCTTGGAATACAGCCTCACTCGGTATATATTAATGTGTAAATCGCATTCTCTGTATATTTTCTCGTACAAAACTCGGAAATGAATCGTCTCGCATACACATGTACTGGAAAATCAATATGAAAAAATCACATACGCATGAACTCCCCCTCCCACACCTCGAATATGTCTTATAGTACGTAGGGCTGAAACGCTCGAATTGTCATCAAAATCTTGTGTCTCGAAATGTGTATTGTTATTATTTGATGTGACAATGCATTCATTCTCTCTGCATAATCCATTATATTTACTGGCAGATGCTTAGAAGCGATTATATTAAATCGTATCTCTTTACTGACCGTCACATTAATGAAACGCATATTCGGAACATAATACGATATTTCGCTCTTCTCGCAATTAGAAAGTTGTGAAGGTGTCTGCTGATAGAGTTTATTCGTTCGTTCGTTCGTTTTAACATAGTTCTCTCGTAAATTCGTTATTAAATAACCAATTTATCCTGAGATATTACGTGATGTCACCAAAAATTTTGACCGCACTATTTTGTAATTTAGTAATATAATGGCGTCCGTGAAGCACAAGCTACTCCGTAATGTCACAACCACTTTGGACGCATCGTATCGATGCCGTTCGATTCCACGTAATTCAACGAACTTCGTTCTTAAACATTCGATTATATACATACACAAATATATATCGGATTGAAGATATCTTCTGTTTACTCGCGTCCGAGATATTTTATTTGGTTACGCCTTTGCTCTTCGAAATTTCACAGTGAAATATCAGATTGCAGAAATTTCGTTCCTATTATACAAAAGAGAAAAGCAGTATCAATGTGCATCAGAATAAATGGCGATTTAAGCGGATATAAAAGTGAGAAACTTATTATTGTACAAAAACATGAGTAAAATGATTTAAACGAGATCAAATAGTCAAGATAAGAAGTAATAGTTTTCCTTCCTTTTTACAATATCTAAGATCATTTTAGAATCACTACCTTGTCTATTTCTTTCTCTCTCTCTCTCTCTCTCTCTTTCTCTGCTTGAATAATAATATATATTTATATATATATATATATATAATAATAATAAAATAATATTTACATTCCAATGTGATTTTTATACTTTAAATGCAAATAGCGTTGTACCGAACAACTGTGCAGAGTTTGTTGGCTCTTCACTCGCTTTTTTAAATAATACAAATTTCATATAAAATTAACGTCTAAATTATTATATATTCAATTGACTGTATTCTGTATTCTTAAGAAGAAAGAAAGAACAGAACTATGAAACAATAATTCTCGTGAATTTTAACAGATTCAAAAAGTTCATCTGTAATAACACTGGGCCTTTTACTTCTTTCCTCATTATGGATGTTTGTCTATCCTTTCTTAAACAATCGGTACCACTATCTGACTTTTCCTGTACTATTATGTACCTCAGTGGACCTCACATCAGTGATGGTAAATTTTGGCAGTATTGTAAATTTTTATGACTCTGGGTATGGATATATCAGCTTTCTCTTCCGAAAGATAGGGCAACACGTCAATCCTCGCGTGTGTCAATTTCCTCTTGCACATTCACACAAGATAAGTACTCCAATCAAACCAACAACTTACAATTTTCTTACCATAAATTAATTACATAAAAAAATCATTAATTTACTATAATACATCTAACGTCTTATTAAATGTGTAAGCCTCCCTAAAAACGCTTCGCTTTATTACGTATTGTAAGTCTTTTCATTTTCATTCCGTTTCTTTTGTTTCACCATAAGAAAATGGTCGACTTCTATCATGTCATAGAGCGTAGAAGATTTCCAGATATGGCCAAAGCAGACGATTGTGTTTACATCCATGGGATGTATTTTACGTGGTTTCAATAACATACTGTTCGTACCTAAACGCAGTGCGTCAAGCGCAATATAAATTATAATTTATAGTTTCACAGGTCAGTCCGTATTTCCCTACTTCTGAGAATTTTTTTTGCTTTCGCAGCAAACGATAAACCGAATTCATTGACCAAGTTTCTTCTCATGCGTCTGCGTCTATTTAGTTGCCGTTCACACTGGACACTGATTCTTTCGTTCTCTGCGCACACTAGCGTGAATACATTGGATTCACTCACTAACCACTTGAGAAATAAGACCACCACTGAAATAAAAACACAATGCGCAATTAAATCTTTGTATTTATACATTAGCTGCTTATATGGTCTATCCGCAAAATCGACAGTTCACGAATTATACTTACAACTGTATCACAATAAAGGAATATCTGTGTTGATGCGTCACTCGAATGCTGCAAGCAAGAGAAAACAATTATTTAGACATATTCTTCTCTCCGTTTATCACTTAAAGCATACCAAAAACCATAAGCATATGTATAAGGCGCATTCGGAAGGTAAAATGGGCCAGTTGACCATTAAAAAATGCAAATGAATAGAAAAAAACTTTTATTTCAATGGAAAAACACCTCTATAGATGCTTTATGTTTCCTTGTCAATGTATTTTTTATATTCTAACATAAGTTTTTTGATTTCTTTAAAAAATTCTGCCATTTCCTCTTCAAAGAACTCTGCTATCAATAATCTGGATCAATGTGTGATATTATCTCTCAAGTATTCTATACTCCCTAGAAAAAAGGAAAAACAGAAACAATAACTTTCACGAATTTTCAAATTGACGGATTCAAAAGTCATCTATAACAACAAGCTTTTGGCTCTTTTCTTCATCATGGATCTGTTCTTTCCTAAACAATCAGTACCACTATCTGACTTTTCCTTTACTATTATCAGTGGACCTCGTATTATTGATGATAAACGTTCGCAGTATTGTAAACTTTAACACTGAGGAAACGAATAATCGCGCGAACTTTACAGCTGACAGGATTATTGTAAATTGTCGAATTCGTCATAAATCACTTAGGTATGTGTGATATAAAACAGCCCAACCTTACCATCCAACTGAGTCTTACATACACATGTATAAGATATGTGTACATAAAATAAATATATAATAATAATAATATAGTCTTAATAATCACGTTATTTTTTAATAAATAATAAACATTTGTCGGCATTATTGATTTATCATTTATTGATTATTCAAAGAAGAGAGTGTGTAGTTTTAGTGTTGCAACAAAGTAGCAATCTGTGACTGATTTACTGATTTGTGTTGATGTGTAGAAACAAATGTAAACAGTTAGAGAAATATTAGTGATCTAATTATATTGGGATCGGGTCGTTCCTCCCTGATGAAGCGGACTGAAATGTTCGCAAAACGTCGGAACCAGACGAAGAAGAATCCACGCGGCTCAAACCCGGAAACCAAATCTAATATTCATGGACACCGCGAAAGTCTCAAATATTAAATCTAATTATACTGTGTGTTGAAGCTGGTTATTCTACTTATATTATGCGTTATAGAAGTGCATATGAGTGTAGTTCAGTTTTCTGTGAAGACTATGAAGAGATACGAAATAAAATAGTACTTACGAGATGGAGATCTGGTATCGGACTGATTTGACGTTCCGTCCATTGGTAATCGTCCGCTGCATACATTTCCGCTCGACGGATTGTAATTGAGAAAGTCCCAAATGAGTATTGTATCATCGTGAGATGATGAAACGATTTGGAACTCGTCAAACTGAAGGCGAAACACGCGTCCGGTATGCTCCTCCAATGAGAGATATACGTGAGATTAAGTGAAAGACAGAACATCCTATTGGACATTCGACGTGACATTGATAATAACATGTAATTCAGTATAACATTCAGAGAACAAAAGCAGATGTCTTACCACTAGAGTGCGTAAGCATAACGTATTGGCGAGTGCACGTGGATCTAAAGCCGCAACCAAGTCCCACACCTTTATTTTACTGCAACAAAAAGTAAGCGCGGATTAGTTCCTCTTGTTACGTCGTATGTAAACGTTGCAACATATTTTCCAGAAGTTTGTTTTTTTTTTAATTATGTAACGTTGAATAAAATTGCTATATAAGGCTCTCGCATGAAAAATTATCAGATTGGTGCAAAAGATTTGTCATTTTTCTATCGAATTCGCACTTCTCATAGAAAATTTGAATATTGAAGGGATAACAGAAAGTCAAAAGTCCAAAACAAGACTAAATTATTCATTTTACTCGTAAAAATTATTAATCCTTCGAATTTGGAAAATTTTGCTTCCTATTTTATTTAACTAGTACGATGTATCTTTTTCACCAATCTAATATACAAAGGAACACATGAATTCTCAAGTATAACATAAGATATAACGTAGAAAAAATCGCGTTGCAAAATCGAGCTATTCATTTCCACATATACGTACCCATCATAAGCACCACTGACGATATGCTTGCTGTCAAACCGAATGCACCTTACCAACTCCTCGTGTCCCTCAAGAACGCGCAGACACGCCCCGCACTCGATGTCCCACAGTCTAATGGTATTATCACTACTACCACTAACTACTAAACGATCCCTATATTGCAAACACGCTATACCGCGTTTGTGTCCGTTTAATGTTCGCACAAATTCGCAGCTATACGTGTTCCATACTTTAATAGTCCTATCACCACTAGCGGAAACTATGTACTTTTCGTCGAAGTCAACTACATTCACCGCTGCCCTGTGTCCGACTAGTACTCTCCTGAGCGCGATCTCCGTCTGCGACACCATATCCCAAACCGCGATCGAACGATCCTGAAAAGCAAGGCAACAATAATCAGTGAAGGTGGGAGCCTAATCGTACGGTGAGATTAAGACGCGCAAAAATTCATTCGCTCTCTCGACTGACCTTCGAACAAGTAACCATCATGCCGTTGTTAAATCGGAGATGCAATACTGCCTCGCAATGATGAATCAGCGTATTAACCATCTCTCCAGTGTTAGCGTCCCAAACTCTTACGGTACTATCCGAGGAGCCCGATATTATAGCCTTATCGTCGTACTGCAAACACAAGACGGAGCCCGTGTGTCCCGTTAACACCTTGATGCATTGCAAAGTGTTTCTGTCCCAAATTTTTATCGTATTGTCTCTGAGTCCGGATACTATTTTCTGATCGTCGTATTGCAAGCAGTAGACGCCTTTCGAGTTTTCGCTACGGCAATTGATTCGCTGAAGATTGAAACGGCCCATCCTCCAGTTGTTGTCTATACTATCGATATCCTTGACGATTTTCGGGTAAAGGGATCTGTAGAAATTATGATTGGGATGACTCTCGCCTGGTCTAGGCTTGAAGAGATACTGTATCCTGAAAGTAAGTTGTAAAAGAAGACGATTATTATTTCGGCTTATAAAAACGTAGGTACGTATGAACGCGAAAAATGTACTGGATATCCCAAATATCTCGAAAATATTTTACGATTAAATGTTTCAAATAAAAGTTGTTACTAAAAAATGTATTTAATTATTTTAGTTATTTTATCTTTTGACTGTGGGTGGCGTTGTCGAGGTGAAATAAAAACAACATAAAAATGTAAAATGGAAACTCATATTTTTTATTTTATATTCTTGTATCTGACGTCGAGGCGTTTTTAAAATGGTATAAATAAACTCTTTTTGATTAAAAAGCTTGAATTATAAGCGATCAAAGTTACTGTCGTGTCAACATTAGCATTAGTAAAAAATATATATATATATATATATATATATATATATATATATATATATATATATATATATATATATATATATATATATATATAT